CCTGTCTCTTTGGGGGGTTAACGATAGGACACAAACACATTGACACTAATGTGAAAAGTGACAGCCTCTCCTCACTCTGCTCTAAAACTCAGTGACCTTACGTGATCCGAGCTCACTCGTCACCACAGAGCTGCAGACACTTTAAAACCTCTTTCAGTTATCATACTGCTCATGTTTCTCATTCCTTTCATGTGAACAGAGGTGATTAGGTCAGTAAAACTACATATTGGCAGCTGAGGTGTTTTTATTTATTGCTGTGGTAATAGATTTAATGGCTCAGGGAAACCCCAAAGCTTTTTACTGCAGGCCACAGCTACTGTTTATATCACCAAATAAACCTGCAGCGCATTTAAGACATTTTAATTGCTAGGGCCATGTGTGTGTGTGTGTGTGTGTGTGTGTGTGTGTGTGTGTGTGTGTGTGTGTGTGTGTGTGTGTGTGTGTGTGTGTGTGTGTGTGAGATATCTCAACCAGTTGGCTTTTTTGAAAAAGTGTAGATGGTGACTCTGCGCTGAAGGGATTGTTGTACACACGGCTTCTCTCTGGTCAGCCTATCCTAAATTTAACTTAATCCAAGCCCCCCCACTCTGCCTCCCCACCAGTCAGAGTCAAGGTTACACTGTTGTTTGTGTGTATGTGTGTCTTATGTGTCTATGTAGGGTTAGACAGTTGTTGTCCATGAAATTAAATCCAGATATCGTCATCCTCAGTTTGAAGGAAGCCATGACTTATGCTGCATCCAAGACATAAGTGGACATATTTGCTTTATTAAAAAACGAAATCCTCCAGGAAGTAGAGGAGAGAACATGTGTGTTGCACTTTAACCCAGATCCCAGATAAACCTTTTCCCGGCCTCCAGCTGGTCCTGTGCCGCATGTTGAGGCACACAACCTGAGAAATGCAGTTGTCATCCATTCCTGCCCTCTTTGCAGCTGTACACTGCATCCACACACACTTACACACACACACACACTCCCACACACTGGCCCTTCCCTCCCGCCAGAGGCTGTTGTTTTATAATTAAATGGCGACATTAGTTCATATCATGTGATTCGTAGAGGATTCGTTGCACATTAGAGGCCCTAATCGCCGCCTATAGTCTCCCCCCCGGGCCTCGCCCACATGACCCTGCTGACCACAGCACTTTCTTTATGCCCCCTGAAAGAGCTGGGGATTGAGCCCAAACAAAAAAAAACCCACGAGGGTGAAAAAATGTTTGTACACCCGCTCCCTGGCGGGCCGTGGAGCTCAGGGCCGTTTCAGCTTTAGATCAATGGGACAAGTTACTGGAGTCTGGCCAACTCTGACAGATAGCAGAAAGGAAAGAGCTTGCCTCTTCAAAAATGTGGGTTTTGTCACCGTGTTTTGTACCTCCAGCCACAGCAGAACAAGTATGATGAAATATAAGGGATAGTTTACAGTTTCACCCTTAAAGCCTCCAAAATATATTACATTCATGCAATGCTTCTTCTGTGTGGAGGGCGAGGCTGGAGAGGAAGGGGAGTAAAGGGGGATGGGGTGGTGTGCAGAGGCTCATGGGAGGGGGGGGGGGGGGGGGGGGGGGTGCAGAGGAACCTCTTGTCAGATGAAGCTCCTGATAGTGAAGCTCAACAAAGCAGCGGCTCGGTCCTCAGCTAATGATGGAGGTTACAGTTTAACAAAACGTCTGCTGGTGCTGACGGCCGATCAACCAGCAGCTCAGAAACACTCTGCCGGACCTCAGGGGAGGGGGTCACTGCGAGGGCAGAGCGCCCCCCACTGGGAGGGACAGGACACTGCTCTATTACCATTTACTGGTCTTTAATATATTTAACCAATGGACTCAGGCTACAGTCTGGAGTTTTTCTTCCAGTCCAGATCTGAGGGAGAGTCACTCCAGTAGGATTTGGAGTGCTGCCATAAATAACAATAATTTAGGGGAAATAATCATAAATGAAATAATAGGTATATAAAACACATGGAAATGTAAAGAGATCTACATAACATAAGACAAATAAGACATAAGTAATACATAAATGTGGAGTAAAAAGAAGTAAAGAAAATAATAAATACAAAACAAAATATATATATTTTTTTTTTTTATTGTATTTAATAATAAAATAAAAGTGTCACCATTAAAATAATGTATGGCCATGTTGATTTTCACACATTTATTCTCCTCTCATCCAAACCTGTATGTATTATTAAAGTATTGTTTTATCTTTTTTTATTCCTTGTGCGTACATTGTTCTTATTCCTGCGACATACTTGAACCATTTTGTGTATTGCACTATTTTCATTGTACTTTTATGGGAAGTATATATTTTATGTTGCATTATAGCAGTGATTGAAGTCATTCTTAACAAGTACAGGGGAGCAGTGTGGGGTCTACAAAATAGTCTACTCTACAATGTCCTTAAATAGTGTAAAAGTACATCCCTATTTCTTAAAAAATGTCATGTTGTTTGTGAGTCCATAACTCAAAGATATTCCCTGTATTTGGATATAAAGTTGAGAAAAGCAGGATTTTACTTCGACAACCACTCTGCGTCGCTGCCTGGTGAAACAACACATCCCGCCTTTTTTACCTTTACAACCCGACTTCCTGTCTCTTGACTCTGACCCCTGGGTGTCGACAGGCCTCCTCCTCCTCTGCTGTCTGTCATCTCTTAGATAACTCTTCCTGCCTACCTCTCATATCAGCCTGGCACCTTGTAAAAAAGAAAAAGGGGACATGATAGTGAGGAAGGTCAGAACACAAAGAGGCCTCCATGTTGTGTCAATGAAAACACTAGTAACTTTAATCAGGTGGAAAATTCTTGCCTAATGTCATCCACCCTTCACCTTGTCATAAAGTTTGACATTTCACATTTCTGTGAATAGTTATCCAAACTGAGCTAGAACTTGAACCAGAGGTGTGAAATGTTTAAGACATTAAGCATTATATTCTGACCTTCTGATGCCAATTTCCGCCCAAAAAGGTGAGGACGAACTGAAAAAATGTTATTAAATCTGACATTGCACAGTTGGACTATAACATATAATATTCTGATTGCAGGACAATATGTAGGTAAGAGCTGGGTAACGAAAATGTTCCTAGTTACTCTGGATAATTTACAGACCCTTTTTGTTTACTTCTGGAAGATAGTTACATTAACACTTGTGCTTCTATTGGGCTCTGGTTTCAGACAGAGGGTGAAAAGAGTTGCTGCAGCACAGGCAGGCAGTATGAGCAAAAGAGCTTTTTGAACATTAAAGCATACATGGAGACATGTCACAGTAGAGACACTAAATACTAATATTAACCTGAAAATGTGCAAATAGGGCCCCTTCGAGATCAAGTAGCAATTTTGTACTGCTTTGAATGGATATTCAATTTACCTCCATGATGTTAGGAGCATGTTTACAATCTAAAATCCAAACACATGAAAGAAATCTCCGAACTGAACACTAATGTAGTTACCTGACTTTGTTTTTACTACAGGCAAATTAAAACATCACCATAGGTTAGGGTTACCACACACAAAGCATCAGACTCAAGTCACAGTCACTCACTTCCAGTATGTACAGATAGGCACATTCACATTCGGCATTAGAGCCACAGCGTCTGCAACAGGTCTGACCTGGGGCCTCTGATCCGGGGTCAGTTCAGTTAGCTTCCAACATCTAAAAGGTTTTAGGGACTCTGGTCTGGTGTTAGCAATAGCCCAATGTTTACCCTCCATGCCCCCCAAAAAACTGTTCCTCAAATGCAATTCTAGAGTGTTAGATGCACTAGTGTACAAAATAACGAAGAGGAACACCCGCCCTTTACAAAAACTAAAACTCTGGAAGTGTTTTCTCGTATTCTGTTTAATCCACTTCTGTCAGTTTTTTTTCCCGATTTAGTAATAATGGTGGTTGTTACTGTTATTTTTGAGCACTTGAGAAAACTTGTGTATATTTCATTCATCTTCACATCTCAGTGTTCTCCCTTTAAAAGGAAAGTTATGTGAACAAGAAAGTAGGAAAAACTAATCCCAAATAATATTCACTTCGATTTTAAACTTGATGACACTTTCTCCAATTTATTGAAACAATCAGAAAGCAAATTAAACTCCAAAAATGAAAAGTAAAAGAATGGGGACATTACGGACATGAATAAAAAAAAAATACCAAAGAAACAAGTGTAAAACAATGAAGAAAAATAACAAAATGTCCGACCAGTTTGTATAGGCGTCATTTTAGCAGCGCTATCACTCTAAACAGCTTGGAAGAAAAGGGCACTTATTGAAAAGTGCTCAGTTTTAACTCAACCAATACTTAGTCTTAAAGGGAGACTCGGAATAGCAGAGACAAGCCAGGGAAGTACAAACACGGGATCTAAAGCAGAAAGATAATTCTCTAAAATAGTCTGAATACTCTTCATGTTCAGGAGAGGCGAAGGGGTGCAGCAGGTTGTTAATGAACGAGGGCTGAAGAGGAAATGGCACCCGTAGAAATAACCCATCCCGACGTAGAGGATAAACTAATGAAAGGATAAATAAATAGTCAAGGGGTTTGGTCAAGCTGAAGATCTCACTGGGTGTTTTTCTTTCCCCTCCGTGTTGACTCCATCTTGTTTCAGAGATATGTACACTTTGAAAGCAACTCAATCAGGGTTTAGCACGCCCATAATGCTACATCGCATCACTGAAGGTTCCCTTGAAGTCCATGAAGAAACGCAGGATGTCTGTAGGTTGTCTTTGACCCGCACCACAGAGAGCATGAGGGTTACATTAAGTCCTCTTTTTACTGTCTTGGGATCAGACTCCTCCAAATCCTCTGTGGTGAAAACGGGTTCTCCTGAGAGCAGAACTGACAGGAAGAGAGTGAGGGATGATGGGAAGAAACTAACGCAGCTCAGTTATGATGTGAGAGCAGCAAGTCACCCTGACTGAGGAAGTGGTCTTTTTGTGGACAGAAGATAACATGCAACAGAAAGACATTTGGACCAGTTGTCCTAAACCTGGAAGTGTAGCAAAACAAATCCCAGGAGCAAATCATGTTAATTGATTTAATATCGAGTTGGGTGACAATTTGATCTGCTTAAAAACATGTGGGTACAAAAGATGCCCTTCTAACAGCAATGGAAAAGGGTGCGGTCACTTTTCTGATCCAGGTACAAAGTAAAACAGAAACCAATGCAAGTTGTCTTCCGATTGGATGGTGATATACTAGTTTGGAATAAAATATAGTATAATGTTTCTCTTGGCTAACATCTGCCGAGCCAAAAGGTCTGATGGAGATCACGCAGAAACAGGAAACTCCAACAGTTCATGTTAAAAACCCCAAGACAAACTTTACCTGAGCAGAAGTCCAGCAGACTAACAGTAGGTGTGTAAGGATTTTAAATCTTCAACCCAATATTAGTGTTGCTTTCTTTTAACAGTAGGTACTTTACAAACCAGCAAGTGAAGTGGATAGAATGACAGTTAAATCACTGACGGGTCATTGCAAAAATATTTTCCCGCAATAGTACATTTGGTGTTTTATCATCCTTTATTAAAATAGAAATTGGAAATATAGAGCATCAGTTAATGTGGCGTGGTGAGCTGCTGAACGGAACAGTCGTGAATATCGGTTTCTGTACAGTTCATGCAACCACAGATGGAATTTCAACCTGCTCGCTTTTGTAGAACTCTCCAGTCTTGCACTCCCCTCTTCCATCTGCTCATATGGGGGCACTAGACCCTTCCTCTGCCTATTAAATCTTTGTAAAAATAACTCTTGAACTGTTCTTCTGCTCCGTCTTCCATCCACGGAGCGATGGTGAGGACACAAAGCTTCACGACTTGCTGTCCTTTGGCCTGCTGCTGATAACGTAAGAATATGATAACCGTTGATACACGATGAGAACAGATTAAAGCTCCTCCCATAACCCCAGTTAGGTCACATGTCAGGACTCTCTTCAGTTTGGGCTGCTCTTCATCACCACTTTCCTCCTCCTCCTCCAGTTCGTGGTTGTGGACGCCCCTCCCCAGGAGGAAACAGCAAGTGAGGGAAGAGGGTGAGACGCAGGAAAAGCACACGCACTTCTATCTTCCTCCTGCTTCCTCCTCCACTGAGTGTTCTGCAAACAAAAGTCAAAAGGTGCTACTCTCTCTCTGCCCCAGCTGCTGCTTCACCTCCACCCTCCTCCTCCAGGTGGGGTGTGTCTGTGTAAACGTCTCTGACCAGGAGCACTCTGGTGAGCAGACTCTCCAGGATCTGTCTCTCCAGCGGCGTGGAGCTGAACCGCAGCGGGTCGTCGGGACCGCACGAGGGGTCCGGCTGAACGTAGAAGACGTCGAGGCGCTCGCGCAACAACGACGGGCTGCAGGGGGGAAAGAAAGCAGATGAGGATGAGAAGGTGGTGACAATACAAGGAAAGAGATGTCTACAAATTAAGGATAGGAAGGCTGTAGAAAAGGGGAAATATGTAGGAGGTTTATATTTCTGAATATCTTAAATAATTGAGAAAGAAGTGACAACTGAGTCCTCATATTTAAATAAGTCAACATTGTAGTTCTGGATGTGAACAGCAATGAGTTATAATCACAGGACTGAGGGACGCACAATGGAGCAACTCTCACTAACTCTAGCTTTCCACAGATCACAACTATCATACAATGAACGCTTGATATGCAGTAAAAGAACCATTAGCTGTTGCAGCCAGACTAACAATTAATACTCCCGGAAAGATCTCGAGCATGAGATTTATTTGTGTCATTGTTTTTATTCCCCTCATCTGTTCCTCTGGATAAGATACTCAGTAAAGACATTGAACGCACCACTTGGATCTGTAGAGGTCGTACAGGCGAGTCTCGTTCTTCTTCACCGGGCAGCGAGCAGACGAGCCTCCCGAGTCCTCGTCTGCTTCAAAGTCCTGATCGCCGTCCTCTGAACTCCGCTTCCTCTTCCCTGTTGTTTGCACTGAAGGAACAAAGGATGAAGATAAAACATTTAGGATTTTCTCGACTGAAGATATGAACCTCCAACATAAACTAGAACTCAACTTTTTCATTAATGGCTGCCGTTTAAGAGATAATGCCAATTGCAAAAAATGTCGGTCTCATTATGTCAAATGTTTACGCTGCTATGGACGATCTTGCACTAATGTACATTCCCAAAGATATTGAAATGACTGTTAGTTTGTATATATATATTGATTGTTGTGCTTTTATCTTAATGTGTGCATATGTAAAAATGTGTCTGTTGTTGCGATGCAAGTGTCCTCATATTTATAAGTATCAACACTGTTGTTCAGAATGTGAACAGCAAATCACAGTATAATCATCGGACACAAACATCTGCACATTAAAGGTAGGGTAGGTAAGAATGGAGAAACCAGCTCGAGTGCGCTAGAATTTGAAAGTACGCAGCCGGAAAAAATCTGTCATTTGTATTTGGGATTGAGGGAAACGGTATTATATATATATATATATATATATATATATATATATATATCTGGGAACCGGTATTTCGATCTCTCCGTCTGTATACACAAACTGAAAGATTGACAATAAAGTTGACTTTGCTACATGTCTCACCACTGTGATCCTGAGAGAGGGAAGGCACGCGGGCGCACACGCTGGTCTCCTTGGTGACAGGATGCACGGTGTCGGGGCCGTACACGTTGGCGAAGGACAGGCGGAGGTGCTGCTCCACGGTGCGCAGCCCCAGGTGTTTGGTGTTGAGGTAAACCAGCGAGCGCAGCAGGGCGTCCGGACTCTGCTGGCCGAGCTGCCGGCTGCTCCACAGACTCTGCTCCTGCACCCGGCCCCACAGCGAGCCTGAGAGGGAAACAAGGAAACATCTTTAGACTAGAGAGCAGTGTGCAGGATCCAAGGTGGAGATTAGGTGCGGGGTAAAGGAATAGTTATGCCCCTTCATCGATTTTATTTGTGCAGGACATTATGAAATGCAGCATTTACTTTAACTCGTACTTTTTGACCAGGTGTAACAAAATCTCAAATACTTTAGTAGTAAAACGAACACAAGTGTATTAAAGTAATTGTATAAAAAAGGGAAATCTCCCCCCCCCCACAATTATATATAGTCAGTTGTCTTATTCTGTAAATGCTGGATTTTTTTTAAACATCACCCCTGTCCCTAATTTCCCCAATGATTCAACACTACATTCACAGGTCATTAAAAATATGGGGGGGGGGGGGCGCAACACTTGTTAAAAGGATGTGTAAAATCCCACCTTTTACATCGAACAAATGCCTCTTCACAGCCACCACACTAGTTATCTGTTTTGTAACTAAAGAATTCATTTGGTTGTTTAAAGGTAGGTAGGTAAGAATGGAGGAACCAGCTCGAGTGCGCTAGAATTTGAAAATACCCAACCGAAAAAAATCTGGCCCTTCCTTCAGACTTCCTCACAGAGCCCCTCCTCCAACACACGAACACGCATGACCAATGAGGGCACAATACGATTCCATGGAATATAACAAAGTGTTTCTGAAGTGACTTACCTACCCTACCCTTAAGTGTCCTCATATAAGAATAAAAGTCCAATCACAGAGATCAGAATGTGAACAGCAAAATGGTTCTAATCATCGGACACAGAGTTCATCTACACCAGCAGGTGGAGCTTCTGAGCAGACATCGGGAAATGGTCACTTCTTGGTGAAGGCACATGTTTTAATGGACTCACCGTCAGGGAGCACGCTGGGCTGCCAGTCCTTCAAGACTTTGTTCAGCTCTTCTCCAAAGAGCAGGTAGCACGGGTCGCTGAACAGGTCATCAGTCCGGCCTTTGGAGTGAAGATGCTTCAAAGAAAGAAAATCACGTTTAAAATAAATAAAAGTATAACTAAAAAATGTACAATTAAAAAAGCTGGATTGCTTAATTGCTGCACACCGTACTGCGATGCAAGTGTCCTCATATCTATAAGTATCAACACTGTTGTTCAGAATGTGAACAGCAAATCACAGTATAATCATCGGACACAAAAACATTATTATTAACACTACAAGTTCTCATCCGTGCAAAAAGCCTCAAATTAACTTACTGAAAATACATTAGTAAAAAAGGAGGGAAATACAGAAGCAAGGCCCAGAAAAGGTCGCAGACAATTCCCGGTGTTTCAAGCTATATTACTCAGTAAAACTTCACAATAAACAAGAGAATAGTTTAGGGTCTGTTTTTACAAAATGATTAAATTAATCTTACATTTTTCTTTGAGAAAAACCACCATCCAGATGACTTTGGGCTCTCCTGCTCTCATGTCTGCAGCCATGCTGTTCTGCTGCTGTTCTCATGTGAGGGAAGGAGAGACTGTGCGCCTGTTATATCCGTCCCTCTGGGAACACTCCCTCTCTCACGTTAGTTCCTACCTCTAAAATGATTACAAATGGCATTATAAAAGAAAAAAAGGAAAGTTGACTATGCCAAGTCTTTTTCTTGTTTTATGACATTATCTAAAATTGAAAATGTTTAGATTTTATATAAAGAAATGTTATTTTAGTTATTATATTCAGTAGTTTGGAGCAAGTCAATAACTAGTACTGTGATAACGCCACTGCTAACATCGCAAATATTGCCATGCCTTTGAATCTCTTTTTAAATAGCTTTCTAATTATTTTTTTGTATGGAATATTTGCTTCTTTTTTTAAAGAGACAGAGAGGGGACAGGAAATGAGGAAGAAAAAAAAGGACGGACAATGTCGGACATGCACCACAGGGCCGACCACAGGGCCGGATGCTCCATGCTTTTGTGTTTTAAGTTTAAACCTAGCACACCAGAAATGAGTTCCTGTTTTTCTTGCAACTGCTGCACAACAATTTCCTTTATGACGAATAATGTTATTATTTTATAGGCACAATGATTAGGATTTGATTAAAAAAATCTCAATCATCATTTAATTCCCATTTAAAAAAAATGTGTGGCTGTATCTGAAGAGACCCTCGAACCCTCTGTCTCTTTTCTTTTCTTTTCGCTGTGTTCATTTTGCCGCGGACATTTCTCTGTGTTAAACCTCATGTGAATTTATAACTGGCATTCAAACGATTCCTATATCAAATGGAGTGGATCTACCGACATGTCGTGCAATCTCAAGGATTTGTGTCCAGCTCCAATGTTCTACTTTTTGGGGGTTCATGGTCTATGACTTGCTGCATTTGTGCTGCAGTGTTTCTGTAGTTTTGTTTCCCTGGTTCGGTACCCACCTGCTGGATCCCCAGGCAGAGGTAGAAGATGCTGTCCGCAGAGTAGCGCTCGCCCCCCGGCCGGCAGACCTCCCTCACAAACCGGGACAGAGCGGCGTTCAGCTCCTCTGAGCTCAGAGACAGCAGGTTGCTTTTAGACCGACCTGCAGGAGAACAAACATGGAGAGCTCTTAGCAAGAGAGAAGAAAAATAAATAAAATGGAAAGAAATAACCATAAGGTCAACAAATGAATCAAATGTACACATAGAAATAATCAAATGGGAAAATAAATAATTACAAGAGTTAATGTAAAAATAATTAAACACATTTTTATATACATTTTATATATTTTTTTCAAATTAACCTGAAGATTTTCTATTTTACTGAATAATTTCTTGAATTATTATAACAGCAGCTTTAGTCCTCCATACTACTCATCATGATCCGGTTTAGCGCACCTGGTTTGGAGCTGTCCTTTACTTTGGTGTCGTCTGATTGGTCAGGAGACATCGCCCAGCGTTTCCAGGCGTTGACTCCGTATCGAGCTTTGAGAGGCAGCGACCGCCCCGACAGTCTGTCTGCTGGAGAGGAAGACGAGGCACAATCTGAGCCTTCCTCCACCGCCTGCTTCTTGTTCCCCTGTAACACACACACACACACACACACACACACACACACACACACACACACACACACACACACACACACACACACACACACACACACACACACACACACACACACACACACACACCACACACACACACACACACACACACACACACACACACACACACACACACACACACACACACACACACACCACACACACACACACACACACACACACACACCACACACACACACACACACACACACACACACACACACACACACACACACACACACACACACCTTAAAATGTCTAGTAGAAACATTTTCTTTTGGTACTTTCATAAACACACCTCAAAGACTGCAACCAATACTATTTAGAAATATTTATGGCTATCTTACTTGCATCCTTTGGTTACTATAACCCTTTTGTAAACACTCAGTTAGAAATACACTACATTAATACAGTTGTGTACATTTAACGTTTGTAGACTGTAAGTGTAAATATGCACATTGACATTGAATTGTATCTCGTTGCACTGTCATCACTACTACCTCTGCTTTTATCACTCTTATTTATTTATTTGTGTTTATTTTTGACTGCAGTGAGAGTTGCCAAAGAAATGTCGTTATATATAAATGTAGATATATTCTATTCTATTCAATTTGTTTGAATTCCTACCTGTGTCCTGGGCTGGGGTCGAGGCGCAGGCTCCTCCTTCTCCTCAGCCAGCACTGGAGGCAGAGAGAAGCCCAGGTCCTCGTCCATTCCCTCCAGGACTGGAACATGCTCTGAGGCTGAGACACCAAACAACATCTCAATCAATCAATCAATCAATCAATGTTTATTTATATAGCCCAATATCACGTATTACATTTGTCTCAGTGGTCTTCACAGTGTGTACAGAATATCAGTATGACAATACCACACCCTCTGTCCTTAGACCCTCTGTCCTTAGACCCTCACATCGTACAAGGAAACACTTCCGGAGAAAACCCACAGTTTAAAGGGGAACATGGGAGAAACCTCAGGGAGAGCAACAGAGGAGGGATCCCTCTCCCAGGACGGACAGACGTGCAATAGATGCCGTGTGTAAATTGAAAAGATAATACATTTACAACATAGCTAGTCCAAATGTTTGGAAATGCATGTGTGTATAATAGGACATCTGGTGAACTATTTGCTTTTTTGTCACAGAATAAAACTATAAATCCAGTCAGGGAGGAAAGCAAATGACTCTTCCTGCCGTAAGAATGAATACACAGTGTCTTCATGCAGTGAAGACACTGTGTTACTCAGATAAAACCAGGTAAGGTAGGTGATAAGACAAAGGCTTAGTTCCAAATCATTCTCTAATTTTTACCTAGGCATTATAGGTCTTAAAGTAAATGTACAGTAGGTGTTTACCTTGAGGAAAGTCTGCCTCCAGGTCAAGGTCGGGCTCGTACTCTTCCTCATCCTTTTGTTCCTCCTCATCCTTTCCTTCCTCTTTATCCTCCATTTCTTCCTCTTTCTCCTGCTCCTTCTTCTCATCCTCCTCCTTCTTCTCCTCCTCCTCCTCATCCTCCTCCTCCTTCTCCTCCGCCTTCTCCTCCTCCATATCCTCGTCCTTCTTTTCATCCTTCTCCTCTTCCTCCTCTGAGCTGCTGCTCGAGGCCTTCTTCTCTCGACGCTCCCTCTTCACGTCTGAAACACACAGCCAGGTTGTTTACAGTCAACACTTTTTGAACTGTGGGATATGCCGAAAATCAAATATGACAATACTTTTAACCTTAGTACATGTTTCCAGTTTGTTGAGCTGTATTTCTAAGTCAAATGAAATCTCAAGAATGTCCATAAGCTCTGCATTCATCACATTAAGTATATCAGCGTTTCCGCCAGGGGGGCGTCTTGCCGTCATTTGTCCAAAAATCTGGAGGGGCAAAGGAGATTATTTTCGCCGCCAGCAAAAGCGTGTTCCTGTGACGGAAAGTGTCCTGCCAGAGAGCCTTGTCGGGGGGTGCTAGTGGAGCACGCGCGTGGAATGCGAGCGCCGGAGCCTCGCAGCGGCAAAACTGAGGCTCCGTGGTAAACTGTGGTAACATGAAGAGCCGTTTAGGAGCCGAAATTCCCATCACTAATACGTAAAGAGATAGTATCTATAAGGGACGGCTCAATTCAAAATTCAAGTCACGTGACACAACGTGACGTCACACCCCAGCCCCCCCCTCTCAGCCCTGGTCTGGCGGAAACACTGAAGTAGATCATCTCTTGTGTATCAATGGAGACATCATGAGTGTACCTGGCTTCTCGTCGTCTGAAATCACCTCGGCCTCAGAGAGCTTATCGGCCTCCGGAGGGTCTGAGGGAGCCTCTCGTTTCAGATATCTGAAGGTCTGGATGAGCTGCTCCGCCCCCTGCAGGGTGGTGGGCAGGAACACAGGCACAGGGACCTGGAGAACACAGGGCATCACAACTTTAATTAATGAATGGCTTACTTTGCTTGGGTGACACTAACAACTAACAGGTGTTTCCTCATTTCAGCGTTTCCTTTTCGACCTTACAACAGACACTTAAGCAGCCTTGTATTATAACTAGGGCTGTCAGTCGATTAAAATATTTAATCGCATGATTGTCCATAGTTAATCGCGATTAATCGCACATTTTTGATCTGTTCTAAATGTACCTTAGAGGAATATTTTTCAAGTTTTTAATACTCTTATCAACATATGAGTGGACAAATATGCTTTATGCTAATGTTTATTATCATTTGAACAATGACAAATACTCTCATGAATATTAAACACAACAACCTCTGAACATTACAAATATTCGCCTTCAATTCAATCTGGAACCTCTCATACAATAATACAATACAAATGGTGTGTGTGTGTGTGTGTGTGTGTGTGTGTGTGTGTGTGTGTGTGTGTGTGTGTGTGTGTGTGTGTGTGTGTGTGTGTGTGTGTGTGTGTGTGTGTGAGATGGATCGTTGGAACTATGTGCAACTCAAGGCATATGCTCGAACGGGAGCTGCCTGGACGCTGCAATCATGTTGCACTATCCGTGCTGAGTGTGCTGACTTTTCGTACAATGTCCCACTGTCTGGCTTCCTGCATAAAGTCAAGTGCTCGGCGCAGTTGTGGCGAAATGTCGCTCCTCTGTTTTCATTTAAACAGCTCCATATCCGTTAGCGCAGCTAGCTAGCACCGGATGCTAACAACAACAATGCACGTAAGGTCTCTCTCTCGCTCGCTCGGGCCACACATACACACACCCTCCCGGTCCTCCCAACAGCCAGTCGGACAGCCCTAATTATAACTTAAACTGATATATTCCTGCACTTTAACTTTATCAGCATATTGAAGTATGAATGCTTGTCTTTTGTATGTTGTCTTCTCCTGAATGTTGTACGTCTCGTTTGTTTTTTGTATTTTTGATGGCACCTTAAAAAAAGGAGTAGCTCTACTCATCTCATTGTACCTGTATAGACACAATAAAGGATTTTATTCTAACGTTTATTATAGATTTTTTCTATTGTATGTTAAAGTCTTGTTGCCGTTTAGCATGAATAATCAGTGCGTTTGTCATGTCTTACCGGTACAGGCAGAGTGAATGGAGTGGGGGTGAACTGGGAATACATGTTCATGGGTACGGGGATGAAGACAGGCACAGGTATCGGTACAGGAATATACTCCCTCTTCACACCATCGTCTACATCTGTGGACACACATATGCCGATAACATTATACATGCAAATGTGTTTACTGATGCATCAAGAAGTTGTGATTATGTAGGTAAAGCGGCATGAACTGAAGAAATGCCCCAATTCTACATCATATCATTTCCCTTATGCAAACTTAACATTATCTCACCAATATTGTACCCAAAAGAAAATACTACTTCAGTTTTTGCACACTTCTAAGTAAGCTGGATGTTTACCTGTCTGTAAGAGTTTGCTCTGCATGTGAGGCTTGCAGTATGTAGCCTTGGTGAGCGTGAGCGGCTTGCAGAGCACCGCCTTGTTCTTCACGTCTCTCATCAAACCTCCACCAGCGTACGCCAGAGTGCCCTGATTCACCATCTGCAACATGCCAGAGACAAGAGTACAACAATTAACATGAATAGGTTCAATTGCAAACAGAAATGTGGCTTCTGCTTTAACAAAACAACCGTTAGTTAAACCATAAAATTAGGTTTTTCTAAAAAGGACAGAAAGTACACAAGTCTTGTAAAGCAGAAAATATATTCAGCTAACCAAATAGATCCAAAGTGGATACACAACATCTCTAGAACACATTTGTTTACATGTTGGCAGACGAATGCACAACAAATAATTCAGACAAAGCAACAAGTGATGTCTCAGAAACTCAAATAAAACCTTATAAAAATGTTTACAAATTCTCACTTACCCCAAGTTTGACCCCTTGCGCTTCATACCATGTAGAGAGGAAAATAAAAAACATCACATTAATGTCTCATAGAGAAATCTGATTGACATATAAATAGTCAAATAAAGCAGGCAGGCAAGATATTTGTTTTTGTGTAAATATGCTTTCGATAAAGTGAATTCATTCCCTCGTACATTTTCTGCTACATGGAAAAGAAAACTGCACCTGTAACAATAAAATAAATATCTATCCTGCACATAGCACTTACATCTTATGGCTAATTAAAAGCTAATGCACTTGCAGGACGCTAACTCTTTGGAGTGTGTTTCATGGTTGGTTGCACTTACTGTAAGTGTCTTTGGATAAAAGCATCAGCTCAATCAAATGTAACGTAATGAAAACCTGCTTGATACGGTCAAATGGAAACACACGTGCACAAACACAGAAACACTTTTTACGCTGCTCTGGACAATCTTGCACTAATGTACATTTCCCAAAGGTATTGAAGTGACTGTTATATTGTATATATTGATTGTGGTGCTTTTATTTATGTCTTAATGTGTGCATATGTATAAATGTGTCGTGATTATGTATATATAGGATATACATATTTTTGTATTGTGGGAAACGGTATTTCGATCTCTCCGTCTGTACACACAAACTGAAAGATGGACAATAAAGTTGACTTTGAATCAGTTCTTACCCACGGTGCAGTTCTCGGGGCCTTTCTGTGTGACCATGATGGGGTCGTTCTGCTGCAGGTAGAACTTCAGCAGACAGTCCTGATCACAGAACTGCTTCATCTCCTCCCTCCACATCACAGACTCCGTCAGGCTCCCCTGAACCTTACAGCAGTCACACCTCGCCGCCTGGTGGAGACAAGAGGAACTTCAGGACACAAAAACATATTCCTATATCGTTACAGCCAGTCTTTAGATTTGATCAAAAAAAGCTGAATATTGTCACTTAATGGTGACCTCTGTAGTCAAGACTATGAAAGACTACATTTCCCACAGCGCCTTGAAAGACACAGAGATGGGCAACCTGTGTGGACGTTATATTAGCCTACATAAAGTAATAGAAAGACGATCTGTTTTTTATTCTTGTATTTGAGTTGTGCCTCTTTTGTCTTGCTTTGTTTGACTATCGAAGAGAGGCATATTTTCTTTGTTGAATGTTTGTTTGAATGTTTTTATTTTATTTAGATTAAACGCGACTAGCATCAACACATCATCAGAAGGAGAACAACTCCTCACAACTGTAAGTAAAACCAAGAAATGAACAGATAATGCGTTAGAACGGTCTGTTTAAAGCGTCTGAGTGGCTTGATGGTAGGGCTGAACGATTCATCGATTTTAAATTGAAATCACGATTTTAAATGATGCGATTATCAAAATCGCAAAGCCTGAGATTTATTTGTGTTTATTTTCTTTTGTTCTTCTTGTGTGTCAGTCATCCACACCAATCAGAAGTGCTGTGCTCCACATGTACCAGCCATTGTTAACCAATCAGAAGTGGCCCATGATAGAAGGTGATTGACAGATGATCCAATCACCTGCCAAGTATTTTTGAAAGTGCCTGCCCTTTCCAAATGGCTTCTAATGGAGCTTTCCTAGATGCTTTGGTGAACCATCTGGGTCAGGTTAGTAATGCTCCATCACATGTTTCTATTACAGGGTGAATCTTAAACTGAAGCTCGACTTTAAAGCAACCCAACGGAAGTTTCATGTAAGTTTAGTTCTTTCACTCGTAGCTCGGGCTGCGGGGGTGCTAGAGACGGGAGCATGTTGATGCGACCTTCCTAGCCGGAGATATGGCCGCATTTTACAATAAACTTCCGTTGGGTCGCTTAAAAACAAATATCACAAATCGAATCGCAATATTTGTCAGAAAAATCGCAATTACATTATTTCCCCAAATCGTGCAGCCCTACTTGATGGAAGCAAAGTAAGGAAGCTGTGACAGATATATTTGTGTGTTCATTTATTAAAGGCTTCAGTGAGTATGATACCTTGTGGTACCAGTCGTGGAACTTCTTGGCGCAGGCCTCGCTGCAGAAGTCTCGCGTCATGCCTCCGAGCTGCCGGGTCAAACCTCTCTTACACAGCTGGCTGCAGTGGTTACAGCTCACACACTTCAGACCCAGGCGCTTGATGAAGTCCTGCTTAAATAACAGCTTACAGCCTGGGGGGGGAAAGGAAGAGAAGAGGAGGAAAGAGAAAGACAAAGACAATTGTCAATGAAAAGGAAATCCATCTCGACTAGAGGCAGCTAAATCCTGGATATTAAACAACAGATATACAAACCTTTTTAAACTTTGCCTAAAAATCACTACAAAAGTATTGAACACACACAAAGACACAAACCAATCGTCATGCTGCATATTTAGTTGTTTTATATAACTTTTACACAGATTTAATTGTACTATAAAAGTCATGTGGTTGCATGTGTATTAATAAATCCCTAAGAGGTGGGAAACCTCCTGTCTGCCATCAGGATTAACATACAGTACGTTGATGAGGAGAAATACCAAGCACTTGTACATTTTAACATGTCATAGATAAGCACAATACATAGTTTGTGCACATTTGTGTAGGTATCTTGAGCCTATGTTGGATATTGCCTTTGATATTGTGAACATGGGAGATGAAGTGATTTAATGTGACACTTTTTGCTTTCTCCATTGCATGAGATCAGTCTCTGATTACTTCAAAATGACTCAGATTAACGAAGTGTCCTCCAGAGGAAAGCAGATTGATACCTTCGCTGCAGAAGGGTCTCTTGACTCCGGAGAACTTGACCATCTCGTGCAGCGTCTTCTCCTCCTGGCAGTACTCGCAGAACGTCACGATGCAGTGCAGCTTCTTGTAGTCCTCGCAGCACGTCTTACTGCAGAACTGGTACGCCTTTTCCTGAACAAACACACATTTGGATATATGTATTGAACCTCTTATGTCTAAAACATTCAATTACATATGTGACCTGCTCTATCGAAATCAGTCGCATTGACCCGAAGACACATTTTGAGTTGCATACACACTGTTGGAAAGAGGATATTCCTAGCTTTCTAATGATATCAGGATTGTTTTTGTACTTCAAATATTAAGCGAAATATGTCACATTATATAATGACTGTCACCGAGTCCTCATTTTGAGAAAAAGGCCTTCAAAGTTTTCTCTCCTCTGGAATCCATCGATCTGATTGATTATTAGCAAATGATCAAATACTACGGAGGGAAGATATTTTCCTTTGGAGGGAAGCTCGCGAGTGTGTGTGTATACGTGTGCGCGCGTGTTTGTGTGTGTGTGTGTGTGTGTTTGTAATTTTGCGTTTGTGTGTATTGTGTTTGTTTCCCGGGGAAAACACTCACGAGAAACACCGGCTGTTGTTACGCCTGCTGTGACGTCAAGTTACTCCGTTCTCCGCTTGTAATTATGCCGACGCTTCAAAGCTGTATTTATCATCTGAATTTGCCGAAAGAAGTTTAATATTCTGAAAGCCAAGACTTTGTTTAATTGAAATCAGATGAAAACAAACTGTAACGGACCCTGCCATGTTATCTATGATTACTATACGCTTACATTCATAATTTCAGCCGGAGGGAGGGGGGCGGCGCTGCGGAAGAGCAGATTGCGAGTGAGAGCTGTCTTCGTCCCTTTACAAGCTTCAAAAATGTATTTATCGTGTGAGTTTGGAAATAAAAGTTTCATATTCTGAAAGCCAAGACTTTGTTTTTTTTTTTAAATCAAACAAAACACCGAACCCCGAAAAAATAGTTTTTTACGTAAATCCACGTTTATTTTTAAATGAGCCGTTGCGACTACCGACTGATTTCGATAGAGCGGGTCACGTATATGCTCATTGTGCATGATTTACATTTTTTATAATCGGCTTTGACACAAAGGTTTTCTTAACTCGTCACTTTATTCCTGAGCCGAGCTGGACTTAGGTTGCAACTTTAACTACTTGATTATCCGTCAGTTATTTTCTTAACTTAACTGCTTAATCGTTAGGTCTATAAAATCTATTTGTTCCAGTGAATTTGTATTATTTAAAAATATTTATGCAAATCTAAAATATCCGTGTCAAAAATGACAACTTTCCAGGAGTCCAAGTTGACACCAATGCATTGATTTGTAAAAGACCAAAATCAAAACATTTGTACTGGAATTTATGATCACAGGGGAATACAAAAATGATCACATTTGAGAAGCTAGAACCGACAGAATGATTGACAGTTTTCCTTAAGTATTTAAAAAAAAAAAGTATTGCATTGACTGGTTGCAGACACACGTTTGAGCATCTTTATTGTTTTACACTACTAAAGTTTAAAGGTCACCCATCATGCTATTTTTAGGCAATAGCATAGGTCTCAGATATATACAAATATATAAAAAACATGTCTATGAAGTGTTTTGCTCAAAATACCAAACAGATCACCCATTCTAGCCATGCCTCGTATCCCTCTATTTCACTTCCTGTTTCAAAAGTGCTGATTTGAGGTATAAAGCTTAAAAAAAAAAAAAGGAGGGTCTGAGCTCATGTGGGACCCGGCAGCTACCGTCTAAACTAAATGCTGCCGTGATGAAACGCCATATCATGGATTATCAAGGGTTCTCTCTGAAACAGTCTGGAGATCAAAGGCTTTCTCTCTTGCCGGTTATACCACAAGGTGAGTTCCTTTTTACTTCCTGCTTCTTCACACACATGCTCTCCAGCACAGGTTAGCTCTGAGTGTTAGCGATGCTAATGTAAACACTGACCATATTACGTCCAAAACAGTCGGGCATTGTTTCTGATAGCAACGTTTCTGATTGGGCCGTGGGTCCACATTTCAGATATTACGTAATTTCGGACGCAAATCTGGATCAGCTCCGTTGTTCCCCCGTTTTTAGAGATTTGGGTACGGAGGAAAAGAGAGAGGGTTTTATTTTCTGACGCTGCGTGAGTTCCCCGACACACCGGGGACACATGTTTATGTATAGAAGACATCAAAAAGTGCATTTTGCATGATAGGTCCCCTTTAAGTACACTGGTCATATTGTATTTGTACTAGTTGCCTTGTCATTTTGGCGTTAAATGGTTGTATAGTCCCATTTTTCTTTTTTTGTAACCTTACTATTCATCTGTACACATTTTTGTTCTTCTGCTGCTGTCACACTTCAAATTCCCCTCACTCAGTGAAAGTGAAAAAAGGGACAGTTCGTCGATGATACCTGAATAAAAATTACAAATCTCTCCCTCCTGATGGTCTCACCTCCCACTCCAGGACCTCCGGCCTCAGGCTGAACACTCCTCGACAGTAGTTACACTTCAGCTGCACGCCGTTGTTTCTGGTGGAGAGCGCCGTCTGTCCGTTGGTGGCCGTTTGAAGAGTGGTGTTCTGAAAAAATAAATAAAAGAGAAAATTAACAACTGTTCACGTGTGTAATGGCCAACGTAATAGTGGTTGTACTTACAGAGGTAATTAACTAATCTAATTAATACATTGACTTGCAGATATTTTTACACCCACAAACTTGTCTTTGTATGTGGGTGTTATGCATGTGTTATGATATGAAGTGTGTGGTAAACAGGGATAGAGTCATAGTACAACATTCTTGTTAAAGTGTAAATGTAGCAATGTGGTGCTTAAAAAGCTAATTAGGTCATGGAGTCCACTGAGAGAACCTGAGCTGTTACATGTTTTTTGAGCTGCTGTTCATACGAATAATGATAATGGTGTATCTGGGTTTCATTTTCACAACTTTGATTTCTTATCAAGTATAGTTTATGTCCGTATTATTGTGTAAAGAAATTAGGACACAAGCTCTGATCCACACAAGTTAAAACCAAGTATCAATAAGTCGTTATTAATCTAATTGTTTCAACATGTTTTGCATAAGATTAGTATGTGTGCGTATTTTTGGCAACTCTGGAACTCTCTCCCCCTTCACATCCGACAGTCTGACACAATCACCACATTCAAGTCCCTCCTCAAAACCCACCTGTCCCGAACAGTCTACTCACTGTAGTGCTCCCTATCATCTGTCTCCCTGAATAACCTGTCCCTAGCATTTGTGTCCTCTTTAATTGTCTTCTCCATGATGGTATGTTTGTGTTTTTATCACGTTCTGTTGCTTCTACCTCTTAGAATATTTAACAAATTGAACTTGGGTGTCATGGAAGGCGCCTTTAATAAAATGTATTATTATTATCATCACTGCAGCTGCATTTAAGCAAATAGTGTTTTGAACTATTAATCCAGAGCACATCAGAGGTATGACTATTTCATTTCCATTGTAAAATTGTACGTCAAGTAGTTTGTAACGTCAGAGAGCTCTCACCTGGAACTTGGTGACGCACTGCGAGCTGCAGAAGTTCAGGATGTTTCCCTCCGACAGCGTGGCCTGGTACTGCGGTAAAGAGTTCCTCTTACAGAAGTGACATGTAGGCTCTGAGGCTGCGCACACACACACATTAAACACACATTAAACTCACACACAATACATTTAATACACAAGCTTATGATTTTGTTTTAAAGGTCCTTTTACAGAAGATCAAATGACATCAAAAGCCTGGCAATACATTTGATGTTTTCTGGTTAACAGCAGCTTTTCTATTCTCCTCTGTCGAGCCAATTATCAATCATCTGAACATGGAAATATACAAATAAACGTTCAGACAGCTTTCACCACATAACCTTGAGTCGCTCAAATCTGCTGAATAATTTAACGGATTTGTTGAAATCAACAGAACTTCACCTGAAGGTCCTTTTCCGGTAAAAAGAAAATTGAGCATTGTAAAACTTTGAAAGTGAAAAGAATATTTTGGATGTACCTTAGAAAACAATAATAGTACTATCCCTGAAAACATGTGGTTCAGAAAAACTGTTTCTGTGTATGAAGGGTGATGCATACCATTTAATTATCATTGTTCATAAAAGAACAAAATGTTGGTCTATGCTGTCAAATATAGTTTTTAGAAATAGTGGCAACCGATATCGGCAGGATAGACTTTAAAAATAATGTGCATCAGCTATGTGAAACTCTACTTGTATATCATCATTCACTTTTAAGCATGTATTACCCTATTTTGTCATATTCTAATATTTCCTTTCTCTGGATTCCCCTTAAAGCCTAAACAAATTCATCCTTTGAGCATCAATTTGCGACAAGATAACAGCGCCGTGGTTCATTAAAGGACAACTTGCTGACCACTTGGCTTTTTATTTCTCAGAATTGGCTTGTGTCACAGCAACTATAAATGTTTTTGTTGTTGTTGATGCAAAAGCTGTTGTGTGTGTGACTCACCGATGAAGGAGGTGGAGGCCATCTTGCTCTTGTTCATGCAGTTGACGGAGCAGTAGGAGCCCATGGTGCCGGACGCCCCCAGGCTGTGCAGCACCTCGCCCGTCTTGATCAGAGTTTTACACGTCAGGCAGCTCGCAAGCTTACTGTTGGCCTGTGACAGAGAGGGAGACATGACGTCAGAACAGCAAGCAACTTGATTATAAGATTATATTAAAAGGTCACCTATTATGCTAAAATAAAAGGAACAAAGATTCTCTCTTTTTGTCCTGATCCATTTCTATCAAAACCAGATTTTGGCCACTTTATGATGTCATAACGATGTTTTGTTTTGTGTAACCATTAGCCAATCAGCAACCAAGGTAACCCCCCCCCCCTTATCACCTGAATCTCCTCCTAGAGCACCATTGCGATCTTCACAGTGACCAGGAGAAGCAACATGAGGCCTAGAAATCTAATAATTATCGCATTACCTGATAACGTCTTGAATATGCACCCTGAGACACAAAGCATCATTCTCTCAGTACAACAAGGATAATTCAATGATATCTGTGTGTGGATAATATATCATTTCCCTCTGGGTGCAAATCTGTAATTACTAAATGGATTTGTAGCCCTTTGTTGTTTAAAAACTGACAGGCATAACATCATTAAGAGTTTATCTCCTGCTGCTACAAAATACATGTTCTCTAATTAGAGGAGTGGACAGTTTGCCAGCGGTCAACAGTTGTGTATTTCCAAGAGAAACGTTGACGACATAGCTGGTCGGAAATGGAAATGCTAATAATAATAATTCTCTCCGCCAGGATTAGATCATCCACAAACGTTTGTACTTGTACACGAGAGCTCATTGCTGGACAAACATCCGCTCATAGTTGGCTGAATTTAATAACACTGGAATTAGACTCCATAGATTCTTCTATTCTTATCGGTGTAATATCCAATAAGCTGGTGTTGCCAAGCAACAAATACAATTCCAAAATGTTGGCTAATATTATTCTGCCACACAATTTATTCACAACAACATCCAGTAAAATTAGGATTACTGGATGTTTTAAAAGATATCTTGCATTAAAATGAAAAAGACATTTAAACTAGGCCTATCTTCATTTGGAGATCATAAACATATTGGGACGTTTTGAACAGAGAGACTGGTTGGTGATTTCTTTGATCAGCCATCATAAAGACAGCACTTTGACTTAAAGAAGATATACTTAACCTGGTGGTTATATGCTGAAACTCATCCATGGTTAATCTGTTCTTAGATCTGTGACATTTACTGTTTTTATCGTTTGTTTTGTAAAATATTGTATTATTCTGTTAACTTTCCTATTTGTTAGTCGCTTTAGGGCGCTACGCTCAAAAACTATTTACCGAAAATCTGTTGTATGTCATCATTTACACATTAACAAGCGACAACTATCTAACTGAGTGATATTTAAAGATGTCCTTCCTCTGGATTCCCCGTAAAAGCCTAAAAAATCTTCATTACTTTATTTACTTCATTACAATTTGAGGAAACTCAGTAGAATAAAAGAGCTAAGGTTTGATTTTGCGTTCATTTAATGATCCTTTGCTGTCCACTTGGATATTTATTCCCCATTAATGGTTTGAACTTATATTTTAGGAGGTGTAAGGTCAGGTTAATAATTGTACTGTAGTACATTACAGAAGCTGTGGGGGCAGTGAACTGGCTGTGTGTAGGAGGCAGGGTCACCACAGCTGAAATGATTGAAATAGTTGAATTTTAAATGGATATGGCTGAATGAAAACACACACACACACACACACACACACACACACACACACACACACACACACACACACACACACACACACACACACACACACACACACACACACACACACACACACACACACACACACACACACACACACACACACACACACACACACACACACACACACACACACACACACACACACACACACACACCACACACACACACACACACACACACACACACACACACACACACACACACACACACACACACACACACACACACACACACACACACACACACACAGCTAGTAGAAACATTTTCTTTTGGTACATTCATAAAAACACCTCCACCCCTCAAAGACTGCAACCAATACCATTTAGAAATATTTATGGCTGTTTTACTTGCATCCTTCGGTTGCTATAACCCTTTATGAACACACAGTTAGTTAGCTACAGTACCTGCTTGAAGTCCCTGATGCAGTTCTGGCAGCAGAAGCGCTTCTGTTGGCCGTCCACCAGCAGGAAGTGGTTGGCGGTGGATCTGCAGGGCAGGTAGTCTCCACACTGCTCGCAGCAGTTCATGATCAACCCGTTGGCCCGCCGGTAAACGTTGAAACACGTGTCGCTGCAGATCTTATGGGTCACAGTCTTAAAGCTAACCTCGTGCCGGATCTTTGGAGAGGGAGAGAAATGCAGAAGGGAAAACTGCAAGAGTTGAACAATTTTACTTTATTTACCTTTCCACAGTTAGCGTACACTTGAGTTTATTTGACTGATACACTATAAGCCACATGTTAGCTGACGTTAGCAGCCGCAGTCATAGGGGCTATAGACTTTTATTAGACAGCTTGGTTGAATACTGGATTCTGATTGGTCAATTTAGACATTTCAGAGGTTGTTGAAAGCATAAGTGTAGTTTGATAAGGGCATTGCTATTGCTTTTATATGCAAATGATTCAAGAAGGATGCATAAGTGATGCAAAAATGCAGATGGCTGTGGTTGCTATGTGACAGAAGTACTGGTTAGCCGTGATGCAGAAACATCCCACAGATTGATACTGAATGGGAGAGCTGGAAAACACTGAGGAAAGTCTTGCAATGCTCTCAAGTAACGGATGTTGGTTAATTTAATTTGGATACACTTGAGGAGCTGGGACAACCACCAACTAGTTGACTAAGGCTTTATTTTGAAGTGGGAGGAACTATTCTCTCCAATTTTGAGACTAGTTTTGTTCAAGGATGCCATGGAGACTGAGTTGGAGGCCGTAACACACCATACTGAATGTTACTAATGGAGAAAAAAGAGAAGTCAAGAAAGGAGAGAGAACAAGAGAAGAGTGAAGGCAGACGAGGAAGAAGAAAGGTATAAATATTGAATGAAAGCAGCCTGAGGAGGAAGAAGAGGAGAGACAGAGGCGATGAAATGAGGGTAAGATAACATTCATTAAGGGGTGAGAAAAGAGAGGAAAGGGTGACGAATAGGACTTTTTTTAGACGGCAGCCACACTCTACTCTGTGTGTTGGACTGCATTATATTTAAGGACGTTAGTAATGTTGTGCATCCTCAGGGAGTCAGATTATTACAAACACCTGGAGACTGCTTAAGCCATGATTATACTTCAGTACGGACGAGAACAGCTGCAGACTTTCACACATCTGGTTCTTCCTCTTTAGACTTTATTCAACTACTTAATTATTCATTCCATTGTCAGGAGCATAGAGGCATGCGTTGCTCTGATTGAGAGTGACGGGTAAAGGAAAGGAGTATTCAGACAGACTGACCTCTGTGAGTTTGCCGCAGACGGTACATTTGGTTTTGAGGATTGATTTGGGCGGGTTCTGTTTGTTCTCGTACGCTCCGAGACAACCCGTGCTGCAGAACTCCTGAAACGCCTCGCTGGAGTCCACCTGGGCCACGATGGTCCCCTTCATGTTTGTGATGTCCCTGAAAACACAACCCAGTTAGTACACTGTTTATTTCTTGTGTCTTGATTTCTCTTTTGTACATTGCCTTGTCTTTTATTCTGCTGCAATGCAAAAATGTCCCAAATTGGGATCAATAAAGTAGGGATGCCAGTGATTATTCGTTACAGTCTCCATAATCGAATATTATTTTTAAAAATCGATTTTATTTATATATATATATATTTCTTCTTTTCCTGGCTTAGTTTCAACCAAAATATAGACTAATGCTAATAATAGTAATAGTATTAATAATTGTAAATGGCCATTGGTCACACCACCAGTTTGTTTTACTGTAAACTTGGAGGAAGCCTGCGTGCGGGTGCGTGCGGGTCGGTCGAATAATCGATTATTATTCGCCAGGGCTGCCGAATAATCGATTTAGATCATGGTCAGTTTCTGGCAACCCTACAATAAAGTACTTATCTATCTATCTACATATGATAATAGAAACAATGGTTTGATTAACATTTTGGTGCTTTTAGATCCACTATCTCCATGCACAGGTACACCTTTATCTAAATTGAGATTGAATTGAATACCTTAATTAATTTAAATACTACAAGGATCACAAAAAAGTCATATTTTGATATCATTGATGTTTTCTAAGTGTGTTTTAGTGTTGCCATGTAAGTGTATTTTTTAAATGGATTGTCAAATACACCGTACAAAACAAAAAAATAAATGTCCACATTATAATTATTCGTATTACACACGGTGTCGACATCATGCAGGAAGATACTATAATAAATAATTGGTTGATGCAAAAATATTCTTAAAAAGAGATAAGATAAGATAAGAGAGATAAGATAGTACTTTATTGATCCTAATTTGGGAAATGTTTGTGTTGGGATCAATAAAGTACTATCTTATCTCTTTTTAAGAATATTTCAAATTAAAAAAAACTTTACTTAATTGAACATAAAGATTTGGTTAATTGTTACAACCCCCTTTGTTTTGTGAATGGGCGACGCTACAAGCACAATGCTAAATTCAAACCGTAAACTCTCAATGTGTTGCCAGGTGTTGTGTGCCTGGGACTCACTTCTTGCACATGGTGCAGCTCTTCTTGGGGGCGGGTTTGTGCGAGAAGGCGGACAGACAGGTGGTGGAGCAGAACAGGTGGGTGGAGCCTTTACGCTGGTAGGCCGTCTGTCCTTTCTTCAGAGGCTTCTTACAGTTAGCACAGGTCACCTGGGATCAGCAAACAGAACAATGGCTTCACTGTGGGGCGGCTTTACAACGGTGATACGTTATCTACGAATCTATTAGCTGCCACTAGAGCTAACATCCATCTGAGGAGCCACTGCAGATACATATTACTCAAAACCTTCTTAGCCTGAAAGAGACACACCTTGGATTTACACATCTGTCTTTAAAACAGTTTCAAGTTCCCCCATAGCCTTGTTTGTGTGTGTGTACTGTATGTTATAGCATGTTTGAAGGTCAGTGAGGCCTTCCTCTGTATATCCACAAAATATGTATGTTTGATATGTGATTTAATTGTAAACTACACAAGGCTTACAGAGAATATTGTATTGTCTATGATTGTATACATGTGAAAGGCTGAATTAAAAAATCATTTAAGTTTCAAGTTGAGGAAAACCAAGGAAAGACACATTTTTGTATTTAAAGTCACAGGAGTAATTGTAAAAAAAGACAATTACGAAGATAACTAGCAGGAAAGGATTATATTCAATATGAAAGTATAACACATATAAAGTTGCATGGACAACTGAACAGCTAACTCTGGATACAAGTTCTAACTTAAAAAACTAAAGTCGGTCTGCTATGACAGGGTCTTCCTCCACATTCACCCAACACAACTACACACACCTTGACGGTCCTGGCCTGCGGCTGCGACCCGGAGGAGGAAGTGTTGGAGGAAGACTGGCCCGGAGGTTTGGGCAGAGAGGAGGCCGGGGAGGGAGAGTCCACCCCCGACTGCTTCTGGTTCCTGGGAACTGAAGCTGACTGAGAGATCCACAAGTCTGGAGGGAAAGAAAGAAAGAATGATACAACTTGATCTAAAGCAGAGGTGCCCAAACCTTTTTCACTGAGGGCCACATACAGAAAAACATACGAAGGGCTGGGCCACTCACTAGCAGTGAGGTATATTGCCTCCTAAGTTAAGTTATAAGTTAGCTAAATCAATCAAATGTAGGTAAATTATACTTGATACTTGAATAAGATTAAAGAACAAATCTATTTAAAAGTATTGGTAGGTCCATCCTTAAAACAGAATCCTCACATTGCTAAGGGGAAAAGCACAAGTTTCATGTGTGGGCCATATCTCATTATACTTCTTGAATTAGCTGAGGGCCGATTCAAAATGGACAACGGGCCGCAGTTTGGACAGCCCTGATCTAAAGAATCAAGTTTTTTTGAACCAGTGTAGTCAACAGCACCACCTGGAGGAGATGACAGGAACATAAAACTGTCCCACATGAACAACTCATAGACTACAAAGCCCTCACTGTGCCTTGCTGCATGACGTTGCATTGTTTATAGCAAAAATAAAGCTTTTTTTAGGATGATCATGCTTTTGACTTGTTTAGAAGGCTGTGTTTGTGCATATCATCTGAACACTGTAACTGTGTATCTGTTACTCCCGTAAACAGATGAAGGAGAGCTGGTTACAGTTACAGTATATTACTCTGTTTGCCACATTCATTTTTCCATTTTATGATGATGACTTTATGAATTTCACAGAGAAAAGTTTGGAAATGCACTAAAGTTAACTCCTATCCTCTGAACGCAAGCAGGAGAAGAAAAGTAGGAAACAACATGCAGGTTCCTCAGAACAAAATAAAAGCAAACATTTCCCAAATTGGGATCAATAACGTACTTACTATCTATCTATCTATCTATCTATCTATCTATCTATGTATCCATCTATCTATCCATCTATCTATCTATGTATCCATCTATCTATCCATCTATCTATCTATGTATCCATCTATCTATGTATCCATCTATCTATCTATCCATCTATCTATCTATCTATCCATATATCTATGTATCCATCTATCTATCTATCTATCTATCCATCTATCTATCCATCTATCTATCTATGTATCCATCTATCTATGTATCCATCTATCTATGTATCCATCTATCTATGTATCCATCTATCTATCCATCTATCTATCTATGTATCCATCTATCTATCCATCTATCTATCTATGTATCCATCTATCTATGTATCCATCTATCTATGTATCCATCTATCTATCCATCTATCTATCTATCTATCCATCTATCTATGTATCCATCTATCTATCCATCTATCTATCTATCTATCTATCTATCTATCCATATATCTATGTATCCATCTATCTATCTATCTATCTATCCATCCATCTATCTATGTATCCATCTATCTATGTATCCATCTATCTATCCATCTATCTATCTATGTATCCATCTATCTATGTATCCATCTATCTATGTATCCATCTATCTATCCATCTATCTATCTATGTATCCATCTATCTATCTATCCATCTGTCTATCTATCCATTTATCTATCTATCTATCTATCTATCTATCTATCATCTACCTACCTATCTACCTATCAATCTATCTATTTATCATCTGTCTATCTATCTATCTATCTAAAATATAAGACCATAAACAGAGACATGTGTTCTGTTGGATTCACATATTTCTCACTGGATTCAGTTTACATTGTAATGAGGGTTCAAGCCAAGTTCTGCTAACCATTTCAGTAACAACCGTCACATTTTTTTTTTTGTGAACATGCTCAAGTTAGATCTCCTTCGCTGCATAATAGAAGCGTTACCTGCTCTATTGTGTGTCCCCGAGTCTCCGTTCTGCACCAGCTGGCCCCGCCCCGGGTTGAAGGAGGCTGTCGGGCGACCAGATGGGGTTTCAGGAGTCAGGCTGAACGAACTGCTGATCTGAAGGCCGTTTTCCTCCAACTGGCCTTCACCTGCCTGGACAGAGAGGATTCTTAGGTCAATTTTTTTTAACTTAGTGACAAAACATCAGAAAACCAAAAGATGGTTTGGTCTGGGAGGAACCTAAAAAGAGGGAGCCGTGTTCTGTGTAACTCAACGAACCTGCATCGTATCTAACCTCTTACTAACAGCTGCCAGTGCCACTTGGATAACTTCATATTGGAATTAACTATCAGCCCAAGGCAGTGTCATTACGAAGAGATCATCAATAGGGCAGACACCCAATATGAAGAAGTGTAATATTAAAATCACAGGTGTCACAATATTTGTTAAAAGCCAAATATGTAAAAAAAAAAAATCATATATCAAGATTTGTGGGAAAAGTCAATTAAAAGTCCTTATACTTAAAAAGTAAATAATAATAATCACACCTAGGGCTGCTCAATTCATCGTATTTTAATCGCAATTACGATTATGGCTTGCAACGAAAACAACGTAATCGAAATATAACGATTTTTCTTTTTTATTACATTTTTTTTATTGGTTTTTCAGTTGAGTTATAAAGTCATAAAGTTCAGAGTAATCAACTGTTAAAAACACACTGTTCAAAATAAAATTCTCCAATAAATGGATGTTTTCAAAGTAAATAATTGTAATAATTAATAATCGTGATATCAATTAGTGACCCAAATAATCGAGATTATGATTTTTGCCATAATCGAGCAGCCCTAATCACACCATGATCGTTTTACCATATTTTTCAATGATAATATAAATAATATTTAAAAAAGGATTATTCCCCAATATAGAAAATGCTTTATAATTCAAAATAATCATAATTTACAAAGATAAACCTTTTTACGACAAAGAGAACATCTGCTTTCACCAACATCTATTACCAAACAACACCAGAACAACCAATCCTGAACCCAATTAGAAGGCAAACAAACATTTGATCAATAAACCACTAGTTTAGTAGAGGTGAATGTAAACTACACAGTATTGAAGAAAAGTTCTCACCACAGTCGCCGCCCCGTCCTGCAGTGAGGTCACCGAGGTGATCATCAGGTTCATGTCCTCCTGGTCCTCCTCTGCTTCCTGAGTCGGGGTCTTCTCTTTAGGACCAGCCGAGCCCCCCTTCTCTCCTCCGGACCCCAGAGTGGTGACGCTGGAGATCCTGATCTTGGAGTCTGGCTCGGTGCTGCTGAGTGCACCGGGGGAGGAAGAGGAGGCGTCTTTCTGCTCAGCGTCCTCCTCCTCCTCCTCCTCGTCCTCATCCTCGATCACTATGGGCTCTGCTTCTGTGCTGGGAGTTTTAGGAGGGGCCGCGGCCGCCGTGGAAGCGCTGGAAGATGCAGGAGAAGCGGGGGTCGTTTCCTCTTCCTCATCCTCCACCTCCATTTCCTCCTCCTCCTCTATCGTTGTGACCATGTCTCCAGGCGCCTCACCTGGCTCCAGACAGGCGGTGCTGGGCGTGTCGTGGGAGGAAGGAGTCGTGGCAGAAGGCTGGGGGTCCTCCACCCCTAAGAGGACCACATCATCATCATCGTCATTGTCCGCTGTGACCCCCTCCTTCTTTGTGGCTTCATCATCTTTCTCTGTGACCCCCTCCTCATTTGAGGCATCATCAAGCTCCTCTGTGACCCCCTCCTCCTTTGAGGCATCATCAAGTTCCTCTGTGACCCCCTCCTTCTTTGTGGCTTCATCATCTTTCTCTGTGAACCCCCCCTCATCATTTGAGGCATCATCAAGTTCCTCTGTGACCCCCTCCTCCTTTGAGGCATCATCAAGTTCCTCTGTGACCCCCTCCTCCTTTGAGGCATCATCAAGTTCCTCTGTGACCCCCTCCTCCTTTAAGGTTTCATCAATTTCCTCTGTGACCCCCTCCTCCTTTGTGGCTTCATCAATTTCCTCTGTGACCCCCTCCTCCTTTGAGGTTTCATCAATTTCCTCTGTGACCCCCCTCCTCCTTTGTGGCTTCATCATCTTCCTCTGTGACCCCCTCCTCCTTTGTGGCTTCATCATCTTCCTCTGTGACCCCCTCCTCCTTTGTGGCTTCATCATCTTCCTCTGTGACCCCCTCCTCCTTTGTGGCTTCATCATCTTCCTCTGTGACCCCCTCCTCCATTGTGGCTTCATCATCTTCCTCTGTGACCCCCTCCTCCATTGTGGCTTCATCATCTTCCTCTGTGACCCCCTCCTCTTTTGAGGCTTCATCATCTACCTCTGTGACCCCCTCCTCCTTTGAGGCTTCATCATCTTTCTCTGTGACCCCCTCCTCCTTTGAGGTTTCATCAAGTTCCTCTGTGACCCCCTCCTCCTTTAATGCTTCATCATCTTCCTCTGTGACCCCCTCCTCCTTTGTGGCTTCATCAACTTCTTCTACCACTTCTTGTTCTTGTTCTTCCGTTACCATGGAAGCTTCCTCCCCAGCCTCCTCCTCCTCCTCCTCGGGGGGTGTGGCCTGTTGCTCAGGGGAGGGAGTGGCGTCCATGTTCTCCAACCTCTCCCCTGCCTCTCCTCCTGCGGCAGGGCTTGGTTCTGGCTCCCCGTCCATTGCTAAGGCAACCACCTGGCAAAACACCAACAAAAAACAGTTTAATCATCATAAAACCAGTGTCTGGTGCCGGCTCCACCTCATTATCTCCTGACAGCTGCACAGGTAACGCAGCAGGTGTTCCCCCTCCCCCCCATAACCCCCTCATGACAGGTGAAGAACCACAGCCATTGTTAGTCACCACTCGGGATATGTGCCATTAGGCAATTAAATGTTGCTACCCTCCCTTGTCATCACCAACAATACTAGTAAACAGCATTTTATAAAAAGTATTATTATATGAATTAATGCATTTCAATAAAATATTGACGAATTGTAGTAAAATGTCTTCCTAGTGAAAGGTCTCTTTATAAAAAAACAATCATCCTTTATCTACTAAGGCTAAAAAAAAAAGGAAGGTGGGAAAAGGAATCGCCCGGTTTTCTCACGCAATTGTTTAGTTGAAAAATGTTGGGAAAAAATGACATTTCATAAATCTAGCGCTATTTAAATTAGCTAAACATATATGGTTGTTTGTAGGCTGTATTAGAATACATTGGCTGTAGAGACTTTTGTTTACCTAATGATAACACATGGCACATTTACTAAATAAATATTATGTTGAATATTGTCTTTAATAAATGTTATTTAGGCAGTAATTGCTGTCATGTTTTGTAGGATAATGGACAATCAATGTTCAAAAATGCATGATGATGTGCCCTGTTTAACATGCACAATGCAAAGCAGGGCTAGACATTATAAATGGCACGCTGGCCCGTGCCAACCCCGGTCCGTTTTTTGTTGCTTTTCCACTAGGGGTAGTTCCGGCTCAGGGCTACTTTTTCCCCTTTTTTCAGGCCCTCCAAAATCGAGGTTCTTACCGGGCCATCAACCGGGCTGAATATGCTAAACTAGTGACGTAAACACTCTTGACTGTTGAATGGTCAGAGAGAATTGCTGGCAAGGGGGCTACAACTACAACACAATGAACATATTTGACCGTGATTTAATTTTACGTTTCAAAATTATGCCAAAGTAACAACATACTGATACCGGTCTGCTGACAGACGGCATGCGAGAAACCTTTTAAAATGCGTGTTTTCTGAATGGAGATCGGATCGATCAGGTTAAGCTAACGTTGTATATGCTCCGTCCACACTCACAATAACGGCCTACAGACATAAATAAACCAGCGACTGTATTCGCCATGACACAGGCAGTCTGTGGTTTGTACTTGTTTAACTTCTGTCTAGTTTCTGAACAGATATGAGGAGCTGTGAGCTCTGAGGGCTAACCGCTAACGGCTGATGTTTTGGTTTTGTGGTTCGCATCGAACATGACGTCACGGCAGATTTACGCAGCATCGCTCCGCCTACACTGCGTTACTATAGTTAATGCCCCAGCTACTAAACTGTAATGGAAACGCAGCATAAAGTGAGCCTGGCCTAACAAGGCCTAACCATACCGTACTAAGCAGGGCTAGGTCCTGCAGTGGAAATGCGCCATAAGACATCCCGGACCAGCATAACCTACTTTCCACTTGCCCGCTCGGGCCACTAAAAATATTGCTTTAAAAAAAAATTAAAGTTACAGTAAGACATAAAAACACATTGTCCTGTGGTATAGGTATTTTGACAAGCAATTTTGTTAAATTGTTTCGTTTATTAAAGCTACAACATAGCGTTTCGTGAGGCGATTGTCGTTGTTGGATGAAAAGCAAACAGCTGTTTGCTGCAGAGCACAGCGCGTGTGGGAGCGCGCTCCTTCACTACAGACTTTCGCGCCACCTAACCATTCGCCAAAATGTTTTTAAAACCACCGGTAACCGGCCAAAAAACAATCTTCAAATAAAAGAAATTCACCGGAGGAGTTAAAGGAGAGTGACAGGGAGTATGAGAAGAAGAGGGAGAGAAAGTTTCAGCTATGCTGGCTTGATCGATGGAGTTGGCTTCAATATGATGATATAAACAAGGTGCTTTGTCGGCTCTATACATCAATGCCGACCTATGCTGACAAGTAAGTGAAGAGTAGAACATATAAAGGTATTGGCTATAGGGAGATGTCCCAGCAGTTTAGGAGGCTGAAGGTTCTAATCTAATCGATTACATAGCCATTACATTTATAACCAGGGCTGCACATAACTGGTGCGCAGGTGCGCATGCGCACCTCCGCTAAAAAAAGAGCACCGGGTCATTGAAAAAAGGCACATTTGCGTACCAACATTGAGAGAGAGGGAGAGGAAGAGAGAGAAGAGAGAGAAGGGAGGAGAGAGGAGAGAGAGAGAAAGATATTTGCGAGTTGCATATGAACTCAGGGCCGGCCCGTAGCACTGGCGTTATAGATGTTCGCCTAGGGTGCCTGTGGAGGCGCTGCGCTGGCAGTTCTGGGAGGGAAAAAAACATTTTTGACCGTTGGGGCTCATCCTAATTTTCGGCCTTGATGTAACAATATTCATAATTAAGTAAATGTAACACCCTTTTCACCCCGGTTACACGTTTCATTTGCCCTGTATGATGGGCGCTGTAAGTGATTAAAATGGGGGATGTTGGCTTATCTGGCGCCCGCAGCTCACAGCCAAAATGCGAGTGAGAGAGAGAAGGGCGCACCGCCCGGTGTTGTTATTATAATCTGGTGCTAGCTGCTCTAACGGAAATAAGAAGAAGATGTTTCTACAATGATGTGGAGGGAGAGTCCTCTCCAGTCAGACTGATAACTACAGCTCAGTGAGGTAAAGGACTCTGAGTGTTTAGATAGTTCACTTTAGTCTAAGTTCAAACGGTTTGGTCACAATTTATGTAAACACATATTTCCAAGGCACTCCTTTATAATTATTGGGATAAACAGGTTTGAAAACATTCCAATGTATACTATAGGACAGTAACCAAACATATCCTTTAAAAAATGCATAAATAAATGTTAAGGTAAAATAAGATATGAATGAAGAACATAAATAAAATAAGTTACATGAATTTGTTATTGGCTATGGTAGGTTATTGGTTATGTTGACATACTTATTTGATTACATCCACTTGTCTAAGATGACAACAGAGACTTTCGACCCAAACCCAGCTGTTGACTTGTGGATGCAAGCAGCTAATCGCAGACTCAACCAGAGAGAAAGTAGTAGGCCTACATCATCAGCTACATGTCTGACAGAGAGGAAGACAAAGAGGAGAACAGTCAGGAGGGTAGTGATGACAGCTTGTAGGATTACTGGTCGTGCTAATGTTGTCTTGTGTTCACCTCTGCATGTGTGTTCTGTGTTCACCTCTGCATGTGTGTTCTGTGTTCACCTCTGCACGTGTGTTCTGTGTTCACCTCTGCATGCGTGTTCTGTGTTCACCTCTGCATGTGTGTTGTGTTCACCTCTGTGTGTGTTCTGTGTTCACCTCTGCATGTGTGTTCTGTGTTCACCTCTGCATGTGTGTTCAGTGTTCACCTCAGCATGTGTGTTCAGTGTTCACCTCTGTGTGTGTTCTGTGTTCACCTCTGCATGTGTGTTCTGTGTTCACCTCTGCATGTGTGTTCTGTGTTCACCTCTGCATGTGTGTTCAGTGTTCACCTCAGCGTGTGTGTTCTGTGTTCACCTCAGCGTGTGTGTTCTGTGTTCACCTCTGCATGTGTGTTCAGTGTTCACCTCTGCATGTGTGTTCTGTGTTCACCTCAGCATGTGTGTTCTGTGTTCACCTCAGTATGTGTGTTCTGTGTTCACCTCTGCATGTGTGTTCTGTGTTCACCTCAGCATGTGTGTTCTGTGTTCACCTCAGCATGTGTGTTCTGTGTTCACCTCTGTGTGTGTTCTGTGTTCACCTCAGCATGTGTGTTCTGTGTTCACCTCAGCATGTGTGTTCTGTGTTCACCTCTGTGTGTGTTCTGTGTTCACCTCTGCATGTGTTCTGTGTTCACCTCTGCATGTGTGTTCTGTGTTCACCTCTGCATGTGTGTTCTGTGTTCACCTCTGCATGTGTGTTCTGTGTTCACCTCTGCATGTGTGTTCTGTGTTCACCTCTGCATGTGTGTTCTGTGTTCACCTCTGTATGTGGTTCTGTGTTCACCTCTGCATGTGTGTTCTGTGTTCACCTCTGCATGTGTGTTCTGTGTTCACCTCTGCATGTGTGTTCTGTGTTCACCTCTGCATGTGTGTTCTGTGTTCACCTCTGCATGTGTGTTCTGTGTTCACCTCTGCATGTGTGTTCTGTGTTCACCTCTGCATGTGTGTTCTCTGTTCACCTCTGTGTGTGTGTTCTGTGTTCACCTCTGCATGTGTGTTCTGTGTTCACCTCTGCATGTGTGTTCTGTGTTCACCTCTGCATGTGTGTTCAGTGTTCACCTCTGTATGTGTGTTCAGTGTTCACCTCTGTATGTGTGTTCTGTGTTCACCTCTGTATGTGTGTTCAGTGTTCACCTCTGTATGTGTGTTCTGTGTTCACCTCTGTATGTGTGTTCAGTGTTCACCTCTGCATGTGTGTTCAGTGTTCACCTCTGTATGTGTGTTCTGTGTTCACCTCTGTATGTGTGTTCAGTGTTCACCTCTGTGTGTGTGTTCTGTGTTCACCTCTGCATGTGTGTTCTGTGTTCACCTCTGCATGTGTGTTCTGTGTTCACCTCTGCATGTGTGTTCTCTGTTCACCTCTGCATGTGTGTTCTGTGTTCACCTCTGCATGTGTGTTCTGTGTTCAGCTCTGCATGTGTGTTC